TTTCCTTCCTTGCTATTGTTTGAGTATTTGCTGAATATTTATGCTGGTCCTCTTTTTGGATGTGAAGGTTTATCATTTTTCTTTGAGGTTACCCTGTGATTTATAGTTTTCGTCGCAAGTTTAGAACAGTCTGTTCTATCTTTTGGTTGTCCTTGACTTCCCTACCATCTAGAAGTTCTGTAATGACACAGTTTTTTTCTCTCTTTTTGGTTTTAGTTGTCCTCATTTGTCAATTGATGTCTCCAGTTCCCTGATTACAATCGTGTAGGCTTGTTTACTTTGGAAACTTCCATAGCTGGATTGGTTTCTGGGTGATAGTGTCATGTGTGCTAATGGTCAGTTGTTGTTTGCTGTTGTTGCTTCTCTGTCCAAAGGGCTCCCATTAGCATCTCTTGTAAGGTTGGTCTGGTTTTAACAAATTCCCTTAATTTTACTTATCTGGAAATTGTCCTAATATCACCATCATATTTGAGGGACAGTTTTGCTGGGTACATAATTCTTGGTTGGAACTCTTTTTCTTTCAGTGTTTTATATATACCATCCCACTGTCTTCTCGCCTGCATGGTTTCTTTTCAGAACTCTGAGCTTAGTCCTACTGGTTGCCCCTTGTAGGTAACTTCGTTTTTCCCATGCTGCTTTCATGATTCTTTCTTTGTCTTTGGTTTTGTTTAAGTTTGATGATGGTATGTCTGGGTGATTTTCTTCTGGGGTCTGTCCTGTTTGGGGTTCGTTGGACTTCCTGAATGGATATATTCTTATCTTACGTCATACGAGGAAAATTCTCTTCCAACAAATCTTCGACAGTTTTCTCTGTGGTTTTATTTGTCTCTTCCTGTTCTGGAATTCCAATGACGCGTAAGTTACTCCTTTTGATGGTATGCCACATGAACCTTAGGCTTTCTTCATTTTGTTTTAATCTTTTTTCTGATTGATCCCTTTCCAAAGAAGTGTTCAGGTATTTGCCTTCAGTCTCACCAGTTCTGTCTTCCATTGATTCAATTCTGTTCCTTTTCCCATTCAATATCTTATCTATTTATGAAAATTTACTATTAGTCTTCTGGATTTCTGTGTGTACATTTTGTGTCACTTCTAATTTTTTCATTTGTTTTGTCATTTTGTTCTTGTATTGTTTTTCAGAATTGTTCTAGGGTTTTCTCTGTGTTTTCCTGATTTGTCTCTCAATTCGTTGAAGATACCTAAATATAATTATTTTGAATTCCTTATCAGGGATTTCCAATGCTGCATCTTCCTCAGGGATGTGTTTTGGGTCTGTATCCTGGTCCCTTGTTTCTCCTGCTTTATCTTGCTTCTTTGTATGGACTGTCAGTGCTCTGTTGTCTCCAAGGCATTGTGACATTTTTGTGTTTATATTTAATTGGTGATTGTATGTTGGAGTGACTTGCCCACGATTTTTGTTTTCTTTGTTTTGTTTGTATGTTATCTATGCAAGCAGGCTACTGTGCTCCTCTGTTTGCTAGTGGACAGCACTTACACAGTCACCACCTATCTCCTTTCCTGTTGTCAGCCTCTTGTATATTCCTGCTGACCTTGGCCAACAGAGCCCATAATTAGGTCCCTAGAATCTAAATAAGAATGCTATCACTTTAATATCCAAAATGGTTGCCACTTGTAAAGATTCAAAATGGCTGTGCCCTCAGTTGCTTTAAATATCCAAAATGGCCATCACTTACAAACATTCAAAATGGCTGCACCCTCAGTCACTTTAAATATCCAAAATGGCTGCCACATGTAAACAATCAAAATGGCTGTACCTTCTGGGCAGCAGAAAGTCAATAGCTCAGGGTGTCTCCCTCCTTGCTATTTCCCTTCCTAGTCATAGAACACCAATGCAGTCGCCCCTGCAGCCTTTGGTGACCAGGGTTGATCTTTAGGTCGATTCTCAGGTCCCGACACCACTTCGAAATATTCAGGCTGTTGGTTCTGTCAGAGTAGCTGACAGTCCATTGCTCCAACTGTCTCTGTACTCACTGTTTTCGTTCAGGTTTTTCCACTAGTTGCTGTCTAATCCACTTTTATATAGTTCCTTTCAAAGCTCAGGGTTGCAGGATTATCTTCTGTATCTCTGTCAACTGTTTTTTCTTTTCTTTGTTGAAGAGGGTCTGTGTTGCTTGTCTGGCTATTCCTCCATCTTACCGGAAGTCTGCAAGTAAAATCTTACTGAAAGTAATTAAACGGTTACAGCACTATATTGACAGAGAGCTTCCAGAAATGCAAAGTGGATTCAGAGGAGGGTGTGGAATGGGAGTATCATTGCTGAAGTCAGAGGGGTCTTAGCTGAAAGCAAAGAATACCAGAAAGTTGTTTACTTGTGTTTTATTGACTATGCAAAAGCATTTGATTGTGTGGATTTTAACAAATTATGGATAACACTGAGAAGAATGGGAATTCTAGAACACTTGATTGTACTCATGAGGAACCTGTACATAGATCAGGAGGCTGTCATTGGAACAGAACAAGGGAATACGGCATGGTTCAAAATCAAGAAGGGAGTGCTTCAAGGCTATATCCTTTCACATACTTATTCAACTTGTATGTTGAGCAAATAATTTGAGAAGCTGGATTATATGAAGAAGAACGTGGCCTCAGGATTGGAGGAAGACTCATTAATAACCTATGATACACAGATGACACAACTTTGCTTGCTGAAAGTGAGGATGACTTGAAACACTTACTGATGAAGATTAAAGACTACAGTCTGCAGTATGGATTACATCTCAACATAAAACAAATCCTCACAACTGGTCCAATAAACAGCTTCACAGTATATGGAGATAAGATTGAAGTTGTCAAGGATTTCATTTTGGCTCTATAATCAACACCAATGGAAGCAGCAGTTAAGACATCAGATGACATACTTCATTGGGTAAATCTGCTGCAAAAGACCTCTTTCAAGTGCTGAAGGGCAAAGATGTCCCCTTGAAGACTAAGGTGTGCCTAACCCAAGACATGGTATTTTCAGTTGCCTCTTACATATGTGAGAGCTGGACAATGGATAAGGAAGACCGAAGAAGAGTTGATGTTTTTGAGTTGTGCTGTTGGAGAAGAATGCTAGGAGTACCATGTTCTGCTAAAAGGACTAACAAATCTGTCCTGGAAGAAGTGCAGCTGGAATGCTCCTTGGAAACAGGAATGCTAGACTTCGCCTCATCAGCCTTTGTTGTGTTGTCAGAAGGAAGGATTTGCTGGAGAAGAATATCATGCTTGGTAAAGTGGAGGGTCAGCGAGGAAGGGGAAGACCTTCAATGAAATGGATAGACACAGTGGGTGCCATAATGGGCTCAGGTGTAGCAAGGATCATGAGGCTGGCAGAAGACTGGGCAGTGTTTTGTTCTGCTGTGCATGGGGTTGCTATGAGTTGGAGACAACTTGATGGCACCTAAGAACAACATGATTTTATGGATGCATATATGTCTTTATGTATTAAAATATAAAATCAGATTTATAAAGATACTGATAATGAGTAATAAACTAAAAAGGAAAAGGTATTCTGTTTACATCAGAATTATCATACAGTGGATTATAGTAGGCACATTCTTATGTGGTCAACTAGAGAACAGAATGTGAAGTTATACCAAATGAAAATATAATTGTTATTGTATACAAAATGTGTAAAATGGTATCAATTTTATTTAGTACCCTTCTTATTCCCTTTCACTGTGGTGGTCACTATTCCTTGTGTCCTGTCTGCTTGGCATCTCTTGGTCTTTTCTTTGGACAACAAGTGCCCCTGTTTTTGTTAATGCCCTAAGCATGTGCTTACTTTACTTATTGGATAATTTCTGACCATGGATTATGCTGCTAGTATTTGAAATCCCATGACATAGCTTCCAACATCGTTCCAACATACAAACTACCACAGAATGACAAACTTACAGATGGAAGGTATCCTTGAGGTCTCTTAAATAGACCTCCTACCCTAGTCATAGAGGTATATGAGTTATTTTAACAAGTTAGTGTTTGTAATATAGTTTAGATTCCTTAGATGAAAGATACTATTTTTATTTAAAATGATATATTAATGATTCTGGAGAGCAGCTCTTTCCTAACCTCTCTGTTTTACTGGTAACAAGAATTTTACAGTTTATGTTAAAATAATTGGGGTTTTTAAAGCAATTCTTTGGAGAGACCAGGAATGAGTGGAAGGCTATTGCTCTAATTTTCCTTTCCCCAACTTTCACTTTTTTTCTCTGCATATTAAATTTCCTAAAAAGATAGTGGGATGAAGGGTGGTAATTGAGAAAAGGATGCTGTTTATTGTTTGTAGGGAAGGTCCATGGATTTCTGGTAGCACAGTGCCTGAGGCATCTGACTGCTAACCAGAAGGTTGGTGGTTCAAATCCACCAGCCACTCTGCAGAACCAAGACTGGGCAATCTGCTTCCGTAAAGACTTACCCCATCAGAAACCCAGTGGGGTTTGCTATAAGTCAGAATTGACTCAATGGGAGTGTTTTTATTGTTTTTGTTTTTTTTTAAGGGAAGGTCCAGGATAGTCATTCAAGATAGAAATCCTTCATACACTTGAAATATGTGGAGAACACTTCATCTGCAAGGGGGATTATAAGAATGCATGAGTTTACGTCTGCCCTCTTCCCCATCTTTACTCTTTGTAAAAAGAATTTCCCTCAAGTGTCTTAAAAGAAGAACACTTCAGCAAGCTAGTCCTGTATACCTTGCTTGCATCTGTGTGTGTATTGATTACTTTCAATGATAGTCTTTGAGGATATAGACTATTGCTAGTCTAAAGTAAGATGAATATAGATAGCTTTTTTAAAAAATTATATTTAAGCCATTTTTTCCCCTTGCAGGCCATGTTTCCTATATATTTACATACTTTATGACAGAAATGTAAAGGAAATAATTTTTATGTTATCTTTTCAATCCTATCTTCCAAAGGCTCTTTCATCAGTGGTTTTTTTTTTTTTTTTTTTAGCAGTAAATTTGGGCTAAACAGAATTTTATCTTTCTCTTGTCTATCCAGGCCCAGATTGCTTTTCTTCAGGGGGAAAGGAAAGGTCAAGAAAATCTGAAGAAGGATTTAGTGAGGAGGATCAAAATGCTGGAATATGCTCTTAAACAAGAAAGGTAATTTTGTGAAATGGAAGATAGTATTCTCTGAAATCACTGAATAATAATTCTGTCATTCTTTAAACAAATTAGAATTTTAATACTATAAATTGTTTAATTCAAGAGCAAGTATCTTTGTAAACATTTTTATGAGTGGTTGTAATGTGTTAATTTTGACTACTTTAACACTAATAATAACCAATGAATTGATTTATATGATTTAAATTTTTTTTTTGTACTTTGCCCTTCCTTAAGAATCTTACATACTTTTTGAACTATCAATATCTATTTTTATTTAATAGAGTTGAAGTAGTATTTCAGTTGTAAAAGAAATTTCTCTAATGTTTATTCCTTTCTTATTATCTAATACTATTCAAGTAGATATATTTTTAAGGAAAAAAAGTTACTCTGGCAGACTAAGTTGTGATTCTTTTCCTAGACTTTTTTGTATTTTGTTCTTTTGCTGTCAGCTCTTTCTTTCTCTCCAGAAGGTTATCCTACCTTTCTTTTATGCTGGTGTGTAAGATACTTAACTGACTAACCTTGGGTCACAATTAAAGCAAAAGAACTCAGGAATGAGAGTTTTTGGAATTATCAAATGAAAAATAGTTGCTTTAACACATAGTTTTTGAATTTTTTTATTAGCAGTCTGAGACAGTTCTTTGTTTTATGTAGTTTAATACTTGCTGAGTAATACTGGCGTTGGTGGTTCAAACCCACCAGCCTTGAAAGGAAGGTTGGGCAATCTACATCTATATTGATACCACCTCGGAAACCCAAGGAGGAGTCTCTGTGAGTCGGATCTGACTGAATGGCAGTGAATAGGTAATAACAGAATTCTCTATTTTGCTAATTTTTGCTTCAGTTGTGATGATCACTTAGCATATTTTTCTCCTCCTTTTGAATATTGATGAATAGGCTGTTTGTAAAGCTACCAAAAAATAGCATTGAATATTAAATACAGTGACTATTGGCCCCGTTAAAGTTAGTCCAGACTTTAAGGAATAAGAACACAATCTTCCACAAGATTGCTCTCACTTCACATGCCAGCTTCAAGCTTAGGGATGCCCAGGCTACCCTCACTTTGACAGCTAGCTATAAATTTGGAGTTTCCCACTATGGGCTCAGGTTGGATAATATGCTAGAATGATTCCTAGAACTCAGGAAAGTGCTATATATATGATTACAGTTTTATTATGAAAAAAAGATACACATCAGAACCAGCCAAAGGGAGACTGCATGAGGGAGACCTGGGAGACCTAAGAAGCCTCTGTGTCCTCTCTTTCTGGAGTCAGAATGTGTCACCCTCCCAGCACACTGATGTGTGACAGTAGGTAGAATATTGCCTGCCAAGGAAGCTCTCTAAAGCTTTGGTGTCCAGAGTTTTTATTGTGATTTCATTATGTATTCATGATTTATTATAACATTGACTGTGTGATTGAACTCTCAATCTCCAGTTCCCTTCCCCTTTCCAGAGACTGAGTTGATGTATCAAATGACTCAAAGCTCCCCTACCCTCTAATTGCATGGTTGGTCTTTCTGGCCAGCTCCCATTCTGAGTCTTTTCATCAATGTAAACTGTTAAGGGATCTACCATGAGTCACCTTGTTAGCATAAACTATCAGATGTGATCCTAGAGGGCCCCCATGAATCTCAAAGATACTTCAATCACTCAGCAAATTCCAAGGATTTAGAGGCTAAATCTCAGAAACTAGGAACACAGGCCAGTCGATTTTTATTATTATTATTATTTATTACATATCAAGAAATAGGTATTACTTGGAAGGGATGTAGGAAATCCTGGATAGAGAGGGAGAACAATGTGGAACAAAACTCAAAATCATTTGGAGGAAAAAAAAAAAAAAGATGGTTGGGACCAGGTTTGCTGGTCCAATAGAGCCTGGTGGAACCACTGAGACTATGGCCCCTAGCTGCCCTTCAGGTCCGGAATTGAACCCACACCTGTGGTTTCCAGCCAAACAAAGTACAGGCATGTGAGTTAAACATTTACCTCAAGTAGACACACGCCCTGGAGAGAACAATCATGGGAGAAGGAAGGGCTGCTTATGCACAGGGAGACAGCTCAGGGGGCAGGAGAGTATGGATGGACACTGGGAAGTGGTACTATGGGGGGGAGGAAGTGTGAGGGGAGCTGTTGCATTGTGGTAAACTGTGGTCAATGACATGAGACAAAGTATATGTGAACTGCTGTATGGAAAGTGAATTTACTCTGTAAATCTTCACCCAAATCAGAAATAAAAAAAAAAAAGAAAAAGAAAAAGAAATAGGTACTGATAGATGCTTTATTAGAACTTATATATTCACCTTCATGGGGGATATTTAAGTGGCAGAAGAGATTGAAAGCAACTTGACCCCTTAGTGAAAAATAGGTCATTCTTTTCATACCTTGGGTAAGTCACTGGTTAATGTGCTTGGCTGTTAACTGAAAGATTGGCAGTTCAAGTCCACCCAGAGGTCCCTCAGTTTTGAAAAGGCTGTTGGTCGCTTCCAAAAAATGAGTCATTGAAAATCCTGTGGAGCACAGTTCTACTCTAACATACAGGATTGCCATGAGTCAGAGCTGATTTGACAGCAACTGGAACTTTTTTCACTCCTTGAAAGATTGACTGAAAGTTGGATATAGATAGCAAGATAGAGGGGGAAACTTTTTAAAGTATGTAACTTGGGCATTTTGAGATGTCCAAATTATAGATGGCTAAAGCGAATAGAAAAAAGGATGAAATAGCCGAACAGAAGATTTCAAAGGGCTCAAGAAGATAAAGTATTATAAGAAAAAACGTTCAAAGACCTGGAATTGGAAAACTGAAAAGGAAGAGCACACTCGGCAGTTCTGAAGCTGAAAGAACTGAAGAAAAAAATTGAAGTCTCGGTTGTAATACTGAGTGATTCTAAGGGCAAAATATTGAACAATGCAGAAAGCATGAAAAGAACATGGAAAGAATACACAGTCATTTTACCAAAAGAATTGGTTGATGTTCAGCCATTTCAGGACGTAGCAAATGATCAAGAACCAGTGGTATTGAAAGAAGAAGTCCAAGTTGTACTGAAGGAATTGGTGAAAAATAAGGCTCTAGGAATGGATTGAATACCCATTGAGATGTTTCAGCAAAAGGATACAGAGCTGGAAGTATTTACTCACTTATGCCAAGAAATTTGGGAGACAGCTACCTGGCCAACTGACTGGAAGAGATCAATATTCGTGCCCATTCCAAAGAAAGGCAATCCAACAGAATGCAGAAATTATTGAACAATATCATTAATACTACATGCAAGTAAAATTTTGCTGAAGATAATGTAAAAAATGATTGCAGTAGTATATTGACAGGGAACTGCTAGAAATTCAAGCTGGATTCAGAAGAGGGGATGGAATGAGGGATATTGCTGATGTCAGATTGATTTTGGCTGAAAGCAAAGCATACCAGAAAGATGTTTATCTGTGTTTTACTGACTATGCAAAGACATTCACCTGTATGGATAATAATAAATTGTGGATAACATTGTTAAGGATGGGTATTCCAGAACATTTAATTGTGCTTATGAGGAACCTGTACATAGAACAAGGGGAGAGTGAATGGTTTAAAATCAGAAGAGGTGTGGGCCAAGGGTGTATCCTTTTACCATACTTAATCTATATGCTGAGCAAATAATCCGAAAAGCTAGACTATACAAAGAAGAACATGGCATTGGGATTGGAGGAACACTCATATACAACCTGTGATATGCAGATTACACAACCTTACTTGCTGAAAGTGAAGATCATTTGAAACACTAATGAAGATCAAAGTCTTCAGTATGGATTATGCCTCAACACAAAGAAAACAAAAATCCTTACAACTGGACCATAACCAACATCATAATAAATAAAGAGAAGATTGAAGTTGTCAGGAGTTTCATTTTACTTAGATCCACAATCAATGCCCATGGAAACAGCAGTGAAGAAATCAGATGTCATATTGCACTGGGCAAATCTGCTGCAAAAGACCTTTTTAAAGTTTTAAAGAGCAAAGATGTCACTTTGAAGACTAAGATGCACATGACCCAAACCATGATATTTCCAGTACCCTTATATGCATGTGAAACCTAAATAGTGAATAAGAAGACCAAAGAAGAATTGAGGCATTTGAATTGTGGTCTTGGCAGAGAATACTGAATAGACCATGGACTGCCAAAAGAATGAACAAATCTTTTGTTGGAAGAAGTACAGCCTAAGTGCTCCTTAGAAATGATAATAGCCAGACTTCATCTCATGTACTTTGATCATGTTGTCAGAAGGGACTGTTGGAAAAGGATATCATATGTGGTAAAGTTGATGGTCAGCAGAAAAGGAGAAGACCCTCAATAAGATCGATTGACACAGTGGCTGTGACAATGGGCTCAAGGATAGCAAATATTGTCAGGATGGCACAGGACAAGGTGTTGTTTGGTTCTGTTGCATATAGGATTGCTATGAGTTGAATCTGACAAGATAATCACCTAACAACAGCAACAAATTATAGACATAACCAAAGAAAGAGAGTAATGACATTAATAATAGCAACTGTTAATTAACTACTGTATACCAGGCTCTGAAACTTAAACATAGTAATTCATGCAGTCACAGATCAGTTGTAAAGCTGTGATTGAGATTCATGAATGGGTCCCATGTTTCTGACTTGAGGGAATTTGGGTATTAAGAGTGAAGAGTTTTAGAGTTATCAAATGAATTAAAGATAAAAATAGGATTGAAGAGGAGATATGAAAGGAGGATTCGTGACTGGAGATGGAGAGTTGGGAATCGTTAATGTTGTGGGTGAAGTGATAGGAGTAGTTAAGAAATAATACAGCATGTCTGTGGAAAAAGAAGAGAGAACTGGCACGAGCCTCGTGTTGTTGTTGTTATGTGCCATCAAGTCAGACCTGACTCATAGTGACCCCTCCTTGGGTTTCCGAGGCAGTGTCACTACGGAAATAGATTGGCCAACCTTTCTTCTGAGCCTCAGGGAGTAGCAATATTTCCA